CAGACCGCGCCCCCCCCGGCACGACGGAGTGGCACGTTTCCCCCCCCCCCCCCCAATAGCTAGCAATTCAAAACAGTCCAGTGGAGCCTGAGCGGTGGGTGTTGCCTTCTGACACACTTCCGGTGATGTCAGGGTGTGTGGCATATGCAAATAAGTTATGCTAATGTGCTCCTGCCCCTCTTTTTCTACTAAATGACCCCTGCCCGTTGGTATTTTTGGCCTTGAAGACACCCCCTCTGACCTAGCTAGACACCAATGCTCCCTCTAAGCTGTGGAGTCTTGTGAGCAAAAATTCTACTTTGTGAGCTACTACTGGCATTAAAGTTGTGAGTGAGCAACTTGGCTACGGCATCAATGATGAAAACATTTACTGAAGTATCTCTATAGTTCTATAAAGTTGTGAGCGAGCAACTTGGCTACAGCATCAATGATGAAAACATTTACTAAAGTATCTCTATAGTTCTATAAGGAATATCCTTCTGTCATCGCTCACGCGCTAACAAATACTGCGCAAGAGTTGATAAGTAGTATTTGATAAGAATTGCGATTGCGACACGCTCAGATAAAGTACATATTGCGAAACGAATGTTCACATTGCGCAGTATTCGTCAGCGTGTGAGCGATGGCAGAAGGATGTTCCTTACAGAACATCTGGAGATACGTCAGTAAATGTTTTTGCAACTTACCTTTATTGACTCTTCGTTATTATTTTTTTTATCACGGATGTTGCTTTTGGAGTTCCGCCTCCTCCCGTGATCTCTCATTTTGGCTTCTCCTGCGTAAATTCGTCTGCTCCGGAGCCCTCCTTCCTGAGCGAAGGCAAAAGTGTGCGAGCCGGAGGCTAAAAAACTGGGAGCTCGCTCGCACTAACTCAGCTTAGAGGGAGCACTGCTGGACGCTCATTTGTAAAGACACCTGTCCACCGTCCACCCCCGGTTATGTACATGACATGCTGTCAACTCGCTTCTGACTTTACAGCAACTCTACGAATTAATGGCCTTACCCTTTGGGGTATCCTTCCCCCCAAAGCCTACGTAAGCTTCAACTTCCAGGCTTAACAAAGCCAAAGGATCAAAAGTTCGGGTCAAAGAGAAAGTTTTGAAGAAACTTGACTTTATATGGTCATGATGATCAGCCTTTGTTGGTAGAGTTACAAGCACAGTTCTTTTGGATAGTAAGACCGTTCTTTGTGTCTTGCATTACTTGGAATGCCTCAGTGTAGAGAAGAGGAGGTTGCGGGGGGGACGTGACTGCTGTCTTGACGTATTTGGAAGGGCTGTCCCTTAGAACAGGGCAGGGAGCTGTTCCTGTTGGCAACAGAGGACGGGACGCGCAGTGATGCGCTTAAATTACCAGTGGAAAGGTACCAGCTGGATATTAGGGAAAACGTTTACAGTAGGAGTCATGCAACAGTGAGATTGGCTGCCCGGGGGAGCTCCCCCTCCCTGACAGTCTTCAAGCGGCGGCTGGACGAACACTTGTCAGGGATGCTCTAGGCTGATCCTGCATTGAGCAGGGGGTTGGACTAGATGCCCTCTACTGGCCCCTTCCAACTCTATATGATTCTCTTTCTTATTCTAAACCATTTTTTTGGGGGGGGGGATAAAACTCTAATCCCCCACCAGTCCCCTTGTTTAAAGTGAGGCTCTCTAGCCTTCTTGGATAATCTGCTGCTGGTTGATAAAACTCCAATTCCAGCTGCTTTTGGCCCCTGTCTTTAAACACCTCTGTTGACTCTTCCTGATCTGTTCTCCTTCACTACAATACAGTTCGATGGTCTAGCTGTTCAGTACCACTGAGTGTGCAGGCCAGAGAGTCTTCCATAGCTAGGGCACTTCTGGCCGTCCACCTGCCCTGTTGGAGGAGAAGGCACTAAGCCTCTGAATCCCAGAGCCAGGAGGCAGCCTCAGGGGAAGGCCTTGGCCTCTCTGCCCTGTTTGTTTGGCCCTCCAGAGGAACTGGCTGGCCCCTGTGTGAGACGGGATGCTGGACTAGATGGACCCTCCCTGGTCTGACCCAACAGGGCTCTTCTGGTGTCCTTCTCAGGGGAAGGCCTCGGACTCTCTGCCCTGTTGTTGGCCCTCCAGAGGAACTGGCTGGCCCCTGTGTGAGACGGGAGGCTGGACTAGATGGACCCTCCCTGGTCTGACCCAACAGGGCTCTTCTGATGTCCTTCTCAGGGGAAGGCCTCGGCCTCTCTGCCCTGTTGTTGGCCCTCCAGAGGAACTGGCTGGCCCCTGTGTGAGACGGGAGGCTGGACTAGATGGACCCTCCCTGGTCTGACCCAACAGGGCTCTTCTGGTGTCCTTCTCAGGGGAAGGCCTCGGCCTCTCTGCCCTGTTGTTGGCCCTCCAGAGGAACTGGCTGGCCCCTGTGTGAGACAGGAGGCTGGACTAGATGGACCCTCACTGGCCTGATCCAGCAGGGCTCTTCTGATGTTCTTATGAAGACCTCGGTCTCCATGCCCTTTTGCTGGCCCTGCACAGGAACTGGTTGGCCACTGTGTGAGATGGGAGGCTGGACTGGATGGACCCTCCCTGGTCTGACCCAGCAGGGCTCTTCTGGTGTCCTTCTCAGGGGAAGGCCTCGGCCTCTCTGCCCTGTTGCTGGCCCTCCAGAGGGACTGGCTGGCCCCTGTGTGAGACAGGAGGCTGGACTAGATGGACCCTCCCTGGTCTGACCCAGCAGGGCTCTTCTGATGTCCTTAAGAAAGACAACCAGGTGAACGTGGAAAAGGATTTGTCATATCCCACAATCACAAGCTGGTGCACGACTGGCTGTTACCGTAATCCATTCCCTTGGGGTGGAAAACCCGAGAGAGTGTGCCTGAAGGAGAGTCCAGAGATCTTTTTAGCGCACGGTGTTTCTTAGCGAAGGGACCCCTGACCTTGGTGGTCCACAGAGAGAGCACAGTGGCGCATTTGAGACCAGCAGTTTGTTGCTCTTGAAGGTGCCACTGGACTCTTAACTTTCTTCCGTTGCTTCAGACCAGCACGGCTGCCCACCTGGGTCTAGATGCTCAACGGAGGCATTGCCCGGTGGGTGTGACAGTTACTGCAGCTTCCCTTGGGCTGGATATCGAAGTCACCGAGCGCCGGGTTTCTCGTGCCTAGCCCCCCTTCCCCTGCACCGTAGCCCTCAAGCCCTGCCAAACCCGTCCAGGCCCAGCAGGTGGGGGGCCTGCCCTCTGCGTCCCGCCCCGCCTGCGCGTCCCGCCCTGGCCCCTCCACTGACTCCGCGCTCCCCCTCTTCCCCAGGAGACCGACCAGCTGGAGGAGGAGAAAGCCGAGCTGGAGTCCGAGATAGCCGAGCTGCAGAAGGAAAGAGAGCGGCTGGAATTCGTCCTCGTGGCTCACAAGCCCAGCTGCAAGATCCCCTACGAGGACATCCCCGAGTTGAGCGGGCAGCCCGGCACCTCAGCCGAGGTGGGCTCGCTGGCGATGGCCGTCAAAGAGGACCCCTTCGGCCCGACGGCCTACCCATCCGTGCCCCTCCTCCATTACCAGCAGGGCCTTGGTGGAGTGCAGGCCCTGGGCCCGGCGGAGGTAGCGTTTTCTAGTTCTTACTTTACACATGGTGATCAGCTGACCGACTCGTACCCGGCTAACCCTTCATATACATCTTCGTTTGTCTTCACCTACCCAGAGGGAGCTTCCTGCGGAGCCTCACACCAGCGGAACAGCAGCAGCGACCACTCCTCGGACTCCGTGAACTCCCCCTCGCTCCTTGCTTTGTGAAACTCAAAACAAAAACAAAAAAGCACCAAATGCGAATCTTGCACACGCTCTAACCAATAACGCCCACATGTGTGCAAACTTGCTTGGGAGAGAGGGAGCCCCCCCCGCCCTCCCCCCCAGCCCAGCGTGCATCTTGGACCATCAGATTACAACGGCAAAACAAAGAACCACCACCACAAAAAAAACCCAACCACCACCGGCTGAAATCTGCAATGCCTGCCTCTCTGCCTTGGGATGGTTTGTTGTTGGACCTTGGAGGATGCAGCGCACGGTGGAGAGCATTGGCTGAGGACCGTCCCTTTTCCCCCCACCCGCCATCTCCCATGATTTGGGGCCTTTCGAGTTTCAAACCAGGAGGAGACAAGGACACATTTTTGGAGTATGAGTCAGAATTTTGTACCTTGGAGAATACTGAGCCTTGCTTGGACCCTGGGACTTTGGAGAGGGGTGTCGTGTTGCGGAACAGGTCTTGGCCTTCCCCGCAGGGGACTCCTGTTCGAATCATGCGGACTGTGATGTTTTTCTGTTTCTTGCAACATTTGTAAGGAATCGAGCAAAGGGAGGTGCCCTGCCGGCCAGGAACAGGAATTCCTGCCCCCATGCAAAAAAGACCCCCCTCCTTGCTTTCACCGCATTGACTTGGTGAATTTCACATAAGTTGTGTGCTTAAATTCAGGCACTTTTTATCTCTGGTCTGCTTCCCTTGCTTTTAATCTCGGTCCCATTGCAAGGAGCCGGCTTCCGTGAACGGGTCTCTAGCCGAGGCTATAGAAAGGGCTGTTAGAAACTGACAGGCAGGCCTCCCTTAGGGCCGGAGTCTGCCATTGGGCTCCAGCCTCAGTAGAAACCATTAAAGCTACCCAGTGCAAAAAACAAACAAACCCCCAAGTTCCAAAATGCATTGTCTTGGGTTTAAAGTGCGAGCACCTTGTTTGCGCTTCACAGCTCGCTCTTGGAAGTAAATACCGCTGCCTTCCCAGGAGAGCTGACACTGATTTTAACTCTGTTTTTTAAGAAGAGATTTCTTCTGGTTTACAAAGTCCCTCATTGCGTAGCCCAGCAAGGGGTGGAAACCCTGCAGAGGTTTTAAGAAGCGTTTTAGCTGCACTGAAGATCCGGGTTCCTGCTCCGGGGGTGTGGCCCTAGGCTCCCCCCCTCATCTTTTCCATTGTGGGATAAGCCCTCCCAGGGCTGGGGTTCCCCTTCTCTTCTTCCTCCCCCCCCGGAATGACTCCTCTTCCCGGCTGGGCCGCCCTCTCCCTTGCTCGGTTCCGTCTGTGGGTGATGAGGTAACTCAGAGACTGGCTTGGCTCATGGGGGGGGTGGATGCTGGGGGGTGGGTGGGCTTGGTGTCATACTGTGAATGGACCTCTTTCCTGTACAGACTCTGTTCTCGATATCCTGAGGTTTACCTTTCTGCTCTTAGCTAGCGCTGGGCCTTGCCTTCCCTCCCTCCCCCCCGCCTGCTCTCCCTCTGTTTGTGATTTGAGGGTGGCTCCTTGCCTCTGTTCCCCCCCTTCCTTGCTCAAACTGGCCTTTCACAGAGCTGTCCTGATGCTATTCTGGGCTGGAGCACTTCCCCCAGGCCCATAGTGAGGATTTTTTTCATTCAGGGGTCTTTGAATAAGCCGGGGAGCATCCCCTCCCCCAAGGAGAGCCACAAATAAAATAAAAAATGGGAAGTTGGGGGGGCCCTGGGTTGGATGGGGGCCCCTGGGTTGGATGGGAAGGCGGGGGCCAGGCCCCACTATGCCCCACTGTAGCTATGGGCCTGACTTTCACCCTTTCCAGACTAGCAACATTGAGGGGTAACACCCCTCGAGATCCCGTGCAATTCCGGCACCCCACCACCACCACCACCACCAATGTTCCCTTTAAGCTGTGGAGTCTTGTGAGCAAAATTCCCACTTTGTGACCTACTGGCATCACAGTTGTGAGCGAGCCATTTGGCTGCCGCATCAATGAGTTTGCTCTGGAGCCCCCCATCCTTCCTGAGCCGAGACAAAAATGTGTGAGCCGGAGGCTAAAAAAACTGTGAGCTCGCTCACATTGACTCAGCTTAAGAGGGAACACTGCCCCAACACACTCCTCCGTTCCTGGGGTCTGGGCTTCCCAGCTGGGCCCAGACTGCCTCCTCCCCCCCCCAATCCCTCCCTGGATGCCACCTTGACGCCCTGCCCAAACATTTGCTCTGTGAAATGACGCCATGGGCTGATCTTTGCCCCCTTCAGTCCCAGAAACCCGTGTAACTGAGTATCCGGAATTATCGTGTGCACCTGCATGGACCACCCCACCTTTCCCCCCAGGAGGGTCTCGCTGCCTGTGCTTTGGTGTTCCAGTCGCAGCTACAGTCGTTCTCTTCTGCTTGTTCTGGTGCGGCGGCCGCTTGACGCTTGTAGCACTCCGGTTGCCTCTTGCTAACCGATCACCCAAGTGTGTTTATGGACCGGGCGAGCCGCCCTGTTGCTTTTCGGATCTCTCGAGCACGCCACGACTCTGTACCGAATGTTTCCAAGAACTCTTCTTGTGACCAAGCTCTTATTTTTGGATGTTTTTTTTTCTTCTTTTTTTGGTTTTTAATCTTTTTTTAATCTATAGAGTTTTATTTTAACTTGCCGTTTTATTTTTAAATTTTGCTTATACACTTTGCTGGGGATGGGGGAGTATATTTTTAATTTTTTATTATTATATTATTATTATTATTATTTCCCCCTCCCTTTCCTGCGTTTGTAAATTTTCTGTGATGTGTTTCATTGAGCCAGGCGGAGCCGGCGGAGGGCGAATGGGGGCTCTGCCGCGGCTCCGTCTGCCCTGCACTTAACTGGTTAGCGAAATGGCAAATAAAAGTCCGCTTTGAAAAATGCACTTTTTAATTAGGAATATAAGATCTATTTTTTCAAACTCATGTAACAAAAACAGGAGAAGAAAAAAAGAATCAAAAGCCAGCATTAAGGTGCAATAAAAGATCTCGATGCTGTAGATCTGCCTGACTTTCTCTGCACCAAGACCCTTTTCCCTCTAGGGTGGGGAGGGAAGGTGCTAGGCTTGGGCCAGGAACTGTGAAGTGGTGTCTGCTATCTGCAAAAAAGGCTTCCGATCTCCCAAGTCCTGATCCTGGAGCGCCCTCTACTGCTGAAATGGAGGCACTGGCGGGAAGGAACCGTCCGTTCCTGATTATCTTGCAATAGCAGCGGCTGGTTGGTTCTACCCAAGGTCCTGTCCAGTTGCAACGGGCAAACCAAACACAGGGTATGAAAGCAACTGTCTCCCCTCCCCCGTTGGGCATTCCTAGTGTTACACACATTGAGGTAGAATGCCTCTGATTCCGGCGTTTCTATTTCATAGAATCATAGAAAAGAGTTGGAAGGGACCTTGCAGGTCATCTAGTCCAGCCCCCTGCACTCTGCAGGAGCACAGCCGGAAGATAGCCCTACAACATACCCAAAAGAGGGTCGCCCAGCCTCCGCTTGGAAATGTCCAGCAAAGGAGCCTCCACCACCTCCCAAGGCAGTCCGTTCCACTGCTCAACCGC